ATACCCTTATTTTCTAACACAAAATTTTAGTATAAAGTACCTTCTGCTTCGATCCCAACATAAATTCGAACTCAGAAAAAACATGAACAGAGAGATTGCAAAACATTTAAAAGGAGCGTATATGAAAATTAAAATTATAGTTGCTTATTTTTTACTAAGCATTGTACTAACAAAACTCTTATATCTTAAATTAGTAAATATGTTTAGCTTATTAGCCAAAATCTTTGCTTTATTATACAACTTTTTAAAAACATCTTCCTTAGATAAGATAACTACTTCTAGTATAATTACCTAACAATGAAATTGTTTCAAAATCCAATCAGAAGACGAAAATTTCGATTGTCTTATGAAAATATTAAAGAATATGAAAAATGAAATTAATGATGATAAGCATAAACAGCATCTTGAATTGTTGTAGAATATTAATCAAGTAATTTACATTATTTTTGTTCTTTACACAATAGAAATAATATAATGAATATGTTGTCTAAATAAAAATAAGTATAATGTGATTGAAAAAGTGACATATTGTCAGCGAGAATCACTTTTATTATACTTACGATGATTTTTAAGGATAATAATGCAAGTTAATTCTGATTAGAATGGGATTTTTGCACAAAAAATAAAATAATGATGTCTTCCTGAATTTTATTAACCCATCCATTTATTTTTTAGATGCGATTCATTAGAAATGAGCTAGTTTTATTAAAAGATATGAGTTCTTACGAGAAAAATTCGAAGAAGAAGTAAATTGAAAAACTTTAGCCTTAAATAATATAACGCTTTTAAAAGACAAAATTAAAGTAATCAATATATTTCTTATCTCAGAAATTACATCCCATGTTTTTTTGAATTTTTCTCATAAAATAAATATTTTTGATTCAATTAGAAAAAAGATACACCAGTGCATAAACATATTCTTACGACAATAAGTAATATTGATATTAATAATATATCAAATGATAATCTGTTATATATTAGATAATAGATCTTATAATATATCGGAAAGTAATTACAAATCTCTTGTTGTATGTATACCTTTATTTTTTTTCTTGATGGATTAGCTACTAAAATTACATTTCCATATATTAATTACTTCTTATATTTATAGGGAAGCTTTACCTGCAAATAACAATATCAATTATGCAAGTATATCAGAAAAATTATAAAGAATATGAAATATAAGAGAAAAACTTGCAGTTATTATATATTATGAAAAGGATCATAGCAAAAATAGGACAGCAGCTAAATTTAATATTAAAACTAAATAAGTTCACGATTGATTATCTAAAAAAGAATAATTTATGAAGGCATAACTTAGTTTAAATTATTTAAATAAAAGTAAATCTTCAAAATATCTTGCTTTAGAAGTAGCTTTAGTTAAGTAGGTAAAAAAAAATAAATAAATAACAGGTAATTTTACAAAATATCATTCAAGTTAAAGCAAAAATACTAGTATAACAATTACAATAGCAAGCTTCTTATCCTGCTGTATAATATTTGCATTTAGTAACAAATAGTTAGATGATTTAATAAGTCATAAAAATTTGAGTAATCATCATAGAACTACTATTGCATAGTATTTTCCAGATAATTTATCTGAAAAACTATAAGAATTTCTAGCATTTATTATATATACAGACCCCTGCCAAAAGTCTCTGAACACTTTTTGGCTCAATATAAAACTTAAAATTTTTAAATTTTATTAAAAAACATTTATTAATATATTTATTAAATTACGATATGCTACACATTTGGTACTAAATAATTAGTACTTGGTCGGACCTCCATTTGCTTCAATCACAGCCCTAATTTTCTACGGCATACTATTGGCCAAATTTTCGATAGTTTGTATCAGAATTTGTTTTCAAACCCTTATAACATGTCGATCGAGTTGAGCAAGGTTGGAAGGCAAATTTTTTCTTTCCCAAATGCTTTTCTTGACTTCGGCCCATAAATTCTCAATATGGTTGAGATCTGGATTTTGAACGGGCCATGGAAGTACATGCAGATTATTTTCCGCATGAAACTTCTCTGCAAGTTTCGTTTTGTGAGGGCGAGCATTATCCTCTTGGAATACACCGTCACAGTTTGGAAATGCACGTCTCATAGTTGGCATAATACGCTTGCGAAGAATGGTGATATGTGTAGCACCAGTATCTGTTCCAGATAATGGAATAATTGGTCCTAAGCCTTGTCTCAAAAAGCACCTCCAAAACATTCGGCTAGGGCTATGTTTTACTGTGGCAGAAACACAAGAAATGTTCCATTTTTCATGAGGTTCATGCCATACTCGACTACAACAGCTTTGTTGAAATTGTGAAAAGGTAGATTCGTCACTCCACATGACCTTTGACCAATCGTCCTTTGTTCAACTTTGATATTCCAAACACCATGCAAGACGTGCCTCAACATTTACTGGTGTGATTAAAGGCTTTCATCGTGTAAAACAATTGTTTAATCCAGCTGCACGAAGACTTCGACCAATTGTGCGAGTTGAAACATCTTGGCCAGTCTTTTTTTGCCAGAGTTGAACTTCTGCAGTGCATAAGCGACGATTTTTTTCTTTATTGTTAGTGATAATTCGCTTAAGCTGGCTTCACTTCGAATCTTTAATTAAGGGTGGTCGACCAGAACGAGGCTTCGAATTAACGGTTCTGGTGGTATCCATTCTTTTTAAAATATCTAAAACTGTTGACTTTCCACAACCGATAGTCATGGCAATAGTTCGGTAAATATCACCGCGTTGATGGCAAAAAATTATACCACTGTGTTGTTCTGTTGTTAATTCTTTGGACATTTTATTTGTTTTCAGAAGATAAAATTTATTTTTATTATAAATCAAAATAAACAAACCAAACACGACTTTATTTGGTTTATTCAAGTAAACAAGGTCTGGAACATTACATAAATGCAGTATTATACAGTCACATGATGTAATTGGTATGAAATACCCCCGAAAGATAGCGTCCGAAGACTTTTGGTGGGGATCTGTAAGTGAATATAATATGATTATTCTTTAGTATTTATTAGTAATATGAATAAGACTCCAATGATATTTGATTTATTAAATAATACTACTATTGATGAATTAGAAGCAATAACTATTAGTATTCATTAAAGATAGATTCTCAGTTTATTTCAAAAATAGTTGTGATTGCAATCTATATAAAAACATAGAGTTACAAATTGTGAAAAGGTAATATTTTTAGTATTCATATAATATATTATGAAAAAAACAAATTTTACAGTAATTTTAACCTGTATGTCAGATAGAACCAAACTTTTTCTCTTTAAACTTATTAGATTCATTTTTAATATATATTATTAATTCTGTTAAAAGGCATTTTGGTAAAAAGAATACTAATATTACTATTATTTCAGGAGGATTAACATTTTATTTGATGTTTCAATCAATAAGTCATTTAAAACAAAGGTAAGGTTATTGATTTATTGATTATTTATTTTAATTATTTTTATATTTGATTTTAAATTGTATTATAAATTTATTTCCTATAGATGTGAAAAAATTATAATGATTAAATGTCTGAATCTGTAAGAGAGTTAATACCTGCTGGTAAAATCAAAAAACCATCCTATAAAACTATGTAAATTGGATTAGATCATGGAATGCAATTAATTCAACGATCTTTAAATGCTGTGGTATTTCTAACAAACATGATGGAATAGAAGATGATTGGATTTTCAATTATGAATATTAACCAAGTGAAATCAAATGATAAAGTAGAGATTTTAGATCATGATAATGAAAATGATGAAGGCAATAATATTAATGATAATCATTATGATAAAGAGGAGGAAAGAAATTATGATAATGAATGGAATTAGATAATCATGTAAACTTAATCATATAATATAATAAATCTTGATTAATGTAATGGTATACAATGCATTTTTTTTTAAAATATTACGATCGGTGATCGGTAAATTTGATCGACATATCGATCAATTTTATTGGTTAATTGATTAGTACCATTGTATTAATCAAAAATTTTACATTTTGTAATTGATTAATACCTGTTACTATTCATACTATTCAAGGGGAATACTTTGCAAGGGAGTATCAGTATAAAAAATTTTATTACTAAAAAAAAACTAGATAAAATAACTTTACTATAAATATTACTAAAAATAATATCAAAATAAAATGTTTTTTTTAATAATATAAAATTTATAAATTAGTATTTTATTAGAACAATAACAAATAATTTTTTAAATTTTAGTTGATTTAACAGATATCTTTAGAATTTTCTAGTAGTTTATTATTATACATCTTTAAAATGTGAAACCGAAAAAAAAAATTATTTTACCAATAATAAATTTAGTTAGAGACACCATTTCAGTCGGATATTTTGTAGCAGATTAATTTTATGTTCCATTTATATAATGACATAATTGTAAATGATAATTGCATTTATGGTTCAGAACTACGGAATCAATGTTAATGAATGATCCGAAACTGCATTAGATTGGACCAGATGCATTGTTGTTCTACCATCATTACTTATTGCAGGTGGTGCTGCGCTTTTATTACAATCAATCGTGGGCTGGCAGTGGCGAAAAAGTAAAATAATGGAACATAAAGTCTCTATTCTTTTATTTCATATTATCCTCCAGTCAGGTTAAACTGCGGTAAGTTTTAAATTACCCCCTTTAATGACAAGAATGACAAACATTGTATAATAAATATAAATAAAATATATTGGATTGTATATAAATACAATAACAGATAAAGTGTGTGTTTTTGTATTTTTTACGGAAACTGCGGCAATTTTTTAAAGTACCTATCCTCCCTGTTTCAGCCTTAGTAAAACTGCGTATACACTTATTTTAGCCTACCTTTTTTTTCCGATTATAGCTATAAAACCCTTCTCACAAAAAAACCTCCTGTTAAGAAATGTTATATATATTGTTTTAAAACTTGATTTAACTCGCCTAGCTAAATTTCTTGATGATCTTTCGACAAGGTATTTCTCAGAATGAACAAACGACGCATGGTGGTATTTATGCCAGACGAGAAGCGCGACCACATGGTTGGTTCTCCGCAGCAGCTGCCCTTGAAACATTACTTGGAAGACAACTACCATCTCCAGCAACAACATCTGCAACAAGCTATTCAAAAACGTAGAAAATTGAGTGAGACTAGTAGTATTAATTCTATTGAGCCTAATTTAGGACAGCAGCAAATAAAGATTCAAATACAACCTCCCGTGGTTTATTCTTCCTTTGAATTTCCTAAATTTGAGATACATGGAAAGTCTTGGTCGCAAAAACCAACAAACTTGGTCCGTTCTCGTTGTCCTTCGTTGATCGGGCGTCGGTTTCGAGGAAATGCATACATATCTTCAAAAGTTAACATGCACTGTCATTCAAAAATAAACCATTTTGAACCCATGAAAGAAAAAGTATCTATGGTCAATAATAATAATAATTCTCTGGAGCTGTCATATTCACAAAGTATGACTTCTGTTAGTAACGAGTCACAAAAAACCATTGACAATTTGTCTAGTAATTTTAATAATCAATTGAGTAGGATTACGCATCAAGAAGTTTCTACCGGTATTACTAACAAATGCATGATTCCCATAGACGCGTCAGATTCTGTTCGTAATCATTCTATAACAATAATAGATCATGTTCCAGGAAACGAGAATCAAGAATTTTCAATTCTCAATATAATTCCATCTTTAATTAGTGAAAAACATCGAAAGGCTGCTTTTGTTGAAAACCTTGTCGGTGAGTGATTTGGGTATAGGAAAAAGTGTGTCCAAATACAATGTAATCTCGATATACTACTAAACTTGTAGTTTAGGAAACAAACAATTCAGTACGCCGAAAAGTTCGATGAATTAAATCTTTTTTATTTACAGAACTCAAAAACTATTATGGAGAGTTCGGTATATCGAGATTACAGTGTACGAAGAGATGCCCATTTATTCCAAATGTATTATCAAAATCTCCTCTCACCTAAAACCAACATTGACGCTCAATTTAATTACATCATTACTTCGATCCGGCAAAAATAATTATCGGGTAATTTGTAGATACAGCTGGCCTCATCATTGAGGTAATTTGGGCCAATTTTTCCGTAAACCCTAGCGCAAAAATCATTCCACTACGCTTATTCCTTCAAGAAACTTTACGTCGTTCGAGGACTTCCTATTCAACCCTTCAAACTGCACTATTCTATCTATTTCGTATCAAACCCCAAATTTCATCTATATCTCGACGTTCCGAATATCCCCCAACCCCAACTTCGGAATTTCCCCCAGATATCAATCAAAGTCAGAATAATGATCCAGCGACTTGCGGCCGACGTATGTTTTTAGCAGCTCTAATCGTTGCATCAAAGTATCTTCAAGATCGTAATTATTCTAATCGAGCATGGTCAAAAATTTCTGGTCTCCCTGTTAACGAAATAAATGCAAATGAGATTTGTTTTCTTAAACTTATTGATTACAATCTTTTCATAGCCGAGAACATATTCAAACGTTGGAGTAGTCTTTTGTTAACACATATTCAAGCTATTTCAGGTTCAGAAATAAGTAATCCTGACGCGTTCAGGAGAGTAGAGAATCAACGAGAGGTTGCAATATTTCGCGAAACTTTGAAATCCATGGATCCTAAGACAATGGATTATAAACATACATGTTATCCTGCTACACCTGCTGATAGTGCTCCAAGTTCACCAAAGGAATATAGTTCAGAAATTATGCAAGTTTCAAATTCTTATTCATTGACTCCTATAACACAAACTCCACCAATACCATATGGAAATTTTGTTGATAACGCTAATAGGACTCTGGATAATTATGTAAATTGAAGAACGATGCATATATATGAATATTTTCACTTCATCTGAACTACGATTTTCAATTGATTTTGTCTCCTTTTTTATTATGATCATTTTTTCTACTTTTATAACAAGCTAAAAATTCATAGGGTTTTAGAAGTTTATTCCTTCATAATTCCCATAAAATCAACTTTTTTTTTTAGTTATACATATGGAGGGAATTCTTATTTTAAGCTACTATGCAAATTTTTTCATGATATAAATCATCGTTGCGCCTTTTAATAAATTCATCTCTTAAATTAAAATCAAGTTACAAATTATTTATTATGTTTGTAACTTGATTTTAATTTTAAGAGATCCATTTATCAAATTCGCCAAAATTCACAAATTCTTCATTTTAATATATAATATTAACATTCAATTTATAAAGTTATGTAATTTTTATTAAATTCAAAATTGGATTATGAAAAAAATTCATTTTATGAAATAAATTAAATATTTTTTATTTTTAGTATTTTGTATTTTTTTTTTTTCATATTTTATGAATTAAAGTTTTATAATATAATATTTAAAATTTTAGAGAATTAGTTCACATTTCTGCATTTAAGTATTCTGGTAAAATCTCATTTATCATCATGATTTAAAATTATATTTTAATTTATAATAATAAATTTATTAAATAATTTTAGTTGTATATTTGTATTATCGTAATTATATAATGAGAATAGTTTGAACTTTAGTATTCACTTTTAAATTAAAACTTAGTAGTATATTTTTTTTAAATAAATAATATTTAATATATATAAAATGATAGAATAATCTAATAAAATAAAAAAATCAATTATTATATATTAATAAATAAAGTAATCCTTTAAAAAATCATATAAAAACAAATTAAATTGTATTTTTTCACAAAAAAAAAATTTATTATAAATTTTTACAATATTTAAATAAATAATTTGGAACAAAAAATTTAAATAATAAAATGTAATTTTTAATATAATCAATAAAAGTTATTATAAAGAAGAAAATACCTTTTTTATGATCATAATACTATATAAAAATATAATCATATTAATTTTTAATCATAGATTAAAAAAATTTTTTTGTAAAATGACAAAATCACAAAAAAAAAATTTTGTAGTGAAACTCAATAATAAAAAAACTCCTGTTTACTTGAAAACAATAAAAATACTCTATCAAATAAAAGCAAAATACCCATTACAATCCTTCTACTGTTGACAATACTATTGAACCAACTTTTATTATAGTAGTAGTTAAAAATAGTTCAGAAACTATAGATGTAAACTCACCATCAATCTCTTATTCCTCTTCTATCACCAAAAGCAAACAAACTAAGAATAACCTTAAAACTGAATAGACAAATAAAACCTATAACAATAATGAAACCTATAACGTCTCTAAAAATATGTTAATAAAAAACACTGAGAAAAATACTATCTATTTTGATAGAGATACTGAAGCTCCTCTATTTTTTGCTTACTGCGTTACAGAATTATTCCTTTCTGAGAAATCCAATCACGAAAAAATAAATACTGCATACAAAATCTTCTGTAGAACTGATTTTCCATCTTTTATTGATATATTAATTCTCAATTTTCCATATGATTCAACTAAAGATAGTAATTGTAATTAAATACATAAGTTGCAATTTATAAAATTTATTAAAGTTGCAATAATAAGTTAAGTTGCAACTGTTATAATAGTTGCAATCTAAATTATAATTGCAATTTATTTTATTATTTAAATTATAATTAGTTACAACTGGTTGCAATTTATTATATAAGTTTTAAATAATTATAACTTTAATTTAAAGTTTCAATTATAATTTAGATTGCAACTTTTATAACAATTGCAATCTAAATTTTAGTTGTAACTTAATTTGCTATATAAATTATAATTGGTTGCAACTGGTTGCAACTATTTATATAAGTTTTAATTAATTGCAACTTATTATAGTATAATTATATTATTTATAATAGTTACAACTTAATTATCATTGTAATGATAATTTAAATTATAATTATAACTAGTTATATATTTTATTTTTGATTATTTATTTTATTTTATCTTTTTAAAAATATTCTTACATTTAATAAATTTTTATTTTAATTATATTTATATTTTTTTTAAAAAAAAAGAGTGAAGAAACTTTATTATTTTAAAATTTTAATAATACAGATAATATAATTTCAATTTACTATACTGAATCATTTAATGAAACTAATAAATTATAAAAAACAAAAAAAAGGAAAATGAATTTACAGAAATTTTGAAATATATTAAATGCAGAAAAAAAATAAGTTCTGCTAATTATAAAAGAACTTGTAATTATTGTGATGAATTTTGGGTTCTAGTCAAACCTTTAAGATTAAATTATATTTAACAAAAGATTTTTAAAATATTCAGAAGAAATAACGCAAATTTTTATAAATAAACTAGCAAAAAATGAGATACAAGATAATAAAAATCCTAAAAAAATGCAATTTGAAAATAAAACAAGTATTTAGACAACACTTAATTTTGAAAGGATTAAAATTAGTGATTCAAAAATCTAAGAAATTAATAAGATCTTATTAAAAATATTTATATGTTGTAATATAACATTGAAAAAGAAGAAAATTAGCTACAGAACTATTAGAAAAAGAGGTAATTCAGGTAAATTTAAAAGTTGAAAAAGTTTTAAAAATACATTAAATTTAACATTAGCAAATGATGGATAGACATCACCAATTGGACGATCTTTTTAAAATTTTGTAATATTGATTCTAACTAAAGATAGGAACTGTAATTAATATGTTGCAACTTTTAATGTTGCAACTTACGTTGCAAATAGTTTTAACCTATATATGTTGCAACTAATTTTAGCTTATGTTGCAACATTTTGTAAATTTGAAATCAATTGCTGTACCATCTTTAATTCTAATGCTTGTTGGTAATCATATTGTTTCTCATCATTTAAAGCTTTATTGCTATATATACATCGACGTTTTTGACAATATTTACAGCTAATATAATCACAGATTTTTCCTCCTATTAAAATGCTTTTTGGAATTGACTCTGTATTTACCTATAATTGAATATATGTTGGTCTAAATTCTTCAGTAGTTTCAGTTCCATAAACATGATAAAAAGTTGCATAATAATCTGTATTATCTGTTTTAAAAATTATTAGTATTTTAAAATTAAAATTAAATATCAAAATATATAAACTTACCCGATAAAGGAATTGGATCTGGAAGAAAACTCAAATTACAAAATTCATTTAATGAAAGACAAATTGGCTTACAATATGGGCAGATAATATTGTTGCATTTTTTTATCTTAAAAATCAATATTAATTAGAATATAAAAAGTCATTCGGTTATAATATAAATTTATAATGCATACCTGAAAACTATAAGCACGTGCTTGACAATGAGTGTCTATAAATTCAATTAACACAGAATGTCAACGCATTTGTGCTTGTGTAGTTTCTTTAATTTTTAAAGTTGGATCTATATCATAAATTTCCTATGTAAAATTAAATTATAAATTAATAAATTATAATATTTATATAAGTAAAATTTATTAAATCTATTTAATTTTTTACTTCAAATAATTTGTCAATTGCTTTATTGTCTGCCAGATTATAACATCTAAATTTATTCTCTTTTAATTGAAGTCGTTCTGTTCAATTCTTTAATATTTCTTTGATACTAGCTATGCTTTTTTTTTAATTCAGATTCTAATTTATTAGATTCTTGAGCTTTTTTATGAATATCTAAGGTATTTACTGTAGCAAATAAACTTTCAGACTCAGAACTCATTGAATCACGTTTAAGTGCTACACCTTGAAGACCTAGATTTAAAGTACTCATGATACGTTCTGCCAGATTTGTCTAGCTATGATTTGGAGTTGTATGAACTGCAATAAGCAAATCAAAATTTCCACGAAGAAAAAGACTAGTCAATGCAACTTGTACTGATCCATAATTGCATTGATGATCTGGACTCCCATCTGTGTAAAGATATAAAATTGGTGGTATTATTTGATGCATATATTAGATATTAAGTGCATTAAAAAATTCGGCTGAATGTCTAATAGGAGTACTTGGTTCAAAAATTGTATCCTTATAAGATACATACACCTGACCTCCATAAAATGATCCTGAAATGTCATTAGGAATTATTATAAAAAATGTAACTGATGAAGTTAATGAAAGTTTTGTAAAATCATGATCAGCCGCAGCTAAAATGCCATTTTGAGTTACTATAGAATGCCAATTTTGTACACCTGTAGAAATTGCGACATCTTTCCAATCGGAACTTTATGCTTATCATCTGCAGAAATTAAGCAAGTCCATTGACAATATTAAATGCAAAATTCTCTAAGATATCGAAAAAGTGCTGCACAATAATGTGCATCATCACTGTTTTTTCAAAGTAATCGACTTTGTATCTTAAATTTGACATTAAATCGGCTAGTATGATGTATTGATTGTGTTGTTGTAGCATTTGTAGGACAAAATTGAAAACGAATTCACTCATTTGACGGAATATGAATGTTGGAAAGAAGAGGATCACTATAAAGATTTTTTAATCTTTCTATTATAGTTTTACGAAGGTCACGAATAGACAAAGCTAATGGTATATATAGAATATCTCTGTGACATCTTTCATTTACTGCTAATAAATTCTAATAAATAAATTAATTAATTTGGAATTTTTCAATAAAAATATACAATAAATAAGCAAATATAAAACTTACTTGTTCATTAAAATAAGCTTCCGTTTCATCTTAAAATGCATTAAATTTTGTCCCATTAAATCCATTATTTGTTTGTAAATCAAATATTATTTCAGGGTATGCTAAAGTTAACATCATTCGTAATCTCTCTTCAACATCACGAGTAATAGCATTTGAACTTACAGTAGTATCACCGGTAAGATCAAAATAAAGCATTTGTAATATAGCTGGTGTGACTTTCTTGATATGAAAATACTATACAAATATTATGATAATAAATTTATTTAAATATTAAATATCTATTGCATTTTCATTACCTTATTAAGCACATTCTTTCATATTTGTCATGTAAAATAATAGGGCAAATTTTCATGAATCCTAGCTAGCATACTTGCTTTCAAAGTTTCACTTTGATCATCATTGAAAATTTCAGTTTCTGGGACTCTCCATACATAATTAATTGTTTCCAAATAATTTCCTTGATAAAATCTAAAAATAAAATAAATTATTAATGATTTTTTAAATAAATTATGATATAATACTAAAATACTAACCTATATACACCTATTGGAAATGTGAGCTGTAACTCTTTTATAAATCAGTATCATTTCATAATATCAATTGAAAGAAATTCTTGAATATCAATATGCTTATAAAATAATTTTTCAAATAGAAAATCATTCAATTGAATATAATTATCTTTGAGGCTATCATGATCACAAGCAGCAATTCAATACATAAAACTGTTATTGTCAGAAGAGCACTTTCATCACTATGATGAAGCTTGTTTATAATATTGGCAGTATTAACTAAGTATTCAGAATATTTTTTTAAAATTTCAATTAGAGAAAGAATTTTAGACATTACTTGATCCCATATATTATTATTTGCTCAAGGTTGATTAATGGATAATTCAAGAGAACTTGCAAGATAAGCAAGTTTTTGTTGTGACATTGGATTTTTTTTTATGATGGCTAGTATGATAAGTTTTATTATATATTTCACTATTCTGATAGATCTTTAACTGTGTAAAAAAATCTGGTAAGTGATACAAATGCGTATGCAATGTAGAAAGATGTGAATCAATATATCATAGGGTATTTGTAAGTCAATTTACAAATGTTTTTCCAATTGTATTATGTGAATCACCTATCCAACCAACATTTTGAGCTTGAAAAAATTCAATGATTTCATTGTAGAGTCAATTATAGTTATTATGTTCTATACAATATTGAGAAAATAATGTTTGCCTTGAATTTTTCATTAAAATACTAAAAGCATTTGGTTTGCTTTGAGTTAGAGCTGGCATATCTGAATTTATATTGACAATGAGGCAAAATCTAACTTGCAAAAATCCAAAAACTTCTAACGTTTTTAGATCACTATTTAATCTATTATCAACTTCTCGCCAACTTTCAGATTTTTCTCTTCTAATAAAAACTTGCACCTCTTTATTATCATATTGTCCTGCCGTAACTGCACCAAAAAGGTTACTAAACTTATTAGCTGTAGATTCTATGTTCACTACATGTTCAGGAATGACGTACTTGATACTCTTGTTAACTTGTACCAAAAGATAAAGCATATTTATGAACTGATTCTATTTACGTGAAAAATCATAAAAATAGCAAAAAATACTGATTCGGAAATCTATTTATTCATAAACAGAAAGATAATCTGTTAATTCCATCATAATATTTCAAGTAAATCTATTACTCCAATTGGCCTATTCAACTTTGTCTTGGTGGTTTTAATGTTTGAAATCAAATCTGATTGATTTTAAGTCTACTTTGTTTGCTTTATCTATTTAGTAACCATGACTTCCTCATGATTTTTCAGTCATATCTTAATGTCTTTACAAATATTGTAGGATAAAAAATTCGCAAATGTTCTATAGAAAATATGGGTTCAGAAAAAAAAAGTAAAATTTTAAAATCGAATTCTGGCGAAAATAATAAATGTTAAAAAATTCTTAGCCGATGATGGATAGGAAATGATTTAGAGAAATCTAAACATTTATTGTATTGAACATCAAACAAATGCTGCCAAAGCAACGAAGCTTTAATAGAAAAGCTAATTATAAAAAAAATTCAAAAATCCTCCATGTGTAAAAAAAATAAGAGGAAATGGGATAAAGAAATTTTTTTTTTCCAACAATTATTTATTGTACAAATTTGTGGTTTTATATGACTTTCATGCAATTCATGCAATCAATGCTACAATGTATCAATACAATCGGCAAATTATCACATGACCAAAAATACAACAATTTTATTGGCTATATATTGTGTATAATATTCATACTAAATTTTCAAAATTAAGGGGGGTTATGTTAAACGAAAAATCAAATTGGTGTGACCTTACATATTTACAAAAAGGTATTAGTTTTTCTGCTGAATTGCATGCTAATGACAATCTATGAGCAATACAATGTGTAGTAAATAAATATGGATTTCTTTTTACAAGTTTTGCTTTAACTCTATTTCTCTTTTTAAGTATTACACTCGTTACATTAGATGCAAATAAAGTGATTTTTGATATTATTTCTAAATATATAGGAGGCGGTCAGTAGAAAAGAGAGAAATCCAAATTTTAGTCAAAATTTATATTATTGAACCACTTGGCTAATCTCGATCATGTGTACAAAATTACAAAAAATTTTGGATTTCCCCTTTTTTTACTGACTGCCTCTCATATTTAAAAATTAAAAATATATTAATTATAATTTTATTAGATATAAAATATAAATAAAATATAAAATTTTACAAACCATTATTATCAAAAATTATAATTATAGCATTAAAAATTAAATCTATAACTTTACTTTACAATTGAATAAGCTTAAGGTATTTAACTTTTATTATCCCTTGAATACAATATTTAGCATATATAATCATATGCAATTCACATACTATATCTGTACTTTTTATCTATCATTATATCAAACTTTTTTTAATTGATAATATTATAGCAGATAAAAATTTTCATATGTAATTAAATTGAAAGTGAAAATAATTTTTGAAGATTCTAAAGCTCAATCAAGTTGAAAGATATTTGGAAATTATTTAATAGTATATCATTTTTAGTTAACCAAAAAATAATTTTCATCAAACAACAAGTTTATTCATATGTTTTATTAATAGTATTATTTATAACCTTTTCATTTATGCTTTTATGAGTTCAAGATTATTTGCTAAAGTATAATTATCACTAATAGAATAGTCAACCAGAACTGAAATTTTCATATTTTTGTATTCTAAAATGTTAATTTATTAACTTAAAATATAAAAATACTAATATTATAAATAAAGTTGCTAAACAAAATTAAAAGTTTAAACAAACGTCTAAATAGTAAAAGTAAAACTTGGTTAAATTATATTAAAATTTTATTAAAAAATCTGCAAAATTCAAAAAAAGGTAAAACTATATCAAAGCTTATAAAAATGACGAAATTATATTAAACATTTAGTAAAAATTTAGTGAAATTAAAGGTTTAAACGTTTAGCCAAATTCAAAATAAGTTTAAACAAGCAATTTTAATTATAAAATAAATAAATATATTATATTATACCTTTTTACAAACCAATTTAACATTTTATACACTTTATAAATTAAATAAAACATCAATTTTTTTAGAAGTATTATATATTAATCAAGAGTAAATTTTTAACTATTCTTGCTGAAAATCTTTAGTTTTATGATTAAATTTTAATTTTTTAGAAGTTTAATAATATCATATTATTGGTTTATAAATTAAGGATTTATGAGTAAGTTGAGTTTTATTGATAGGTTCAATAGGTTTAACAGGTTCAGCATTATCACTAAAATTATTTTCATCTGAACTACTTTTAAACTATATTTATTATAATATAAATTTTTTGTTATATTTCATATATTTCAATAAATTTAATATTATTTTTATAAAATAAATACTTTTTATTAAATTCAGTAAGTTCAAAAATTTTTAGAATAATATTTTAAAATCAATATTTCTAAAGTTATTAAAGATTTGAAAGTTTTTTTTGATGAATCACAGATAATAATCAATTTATTATAGAATTAGTATATTTTAATTTTTCTGAAAAAATATCCAGTTCTGAAAAAATTTATTAAATATTTTTAAAAATAACTGAAAATCTCCATTTTTTACAATACTATTTTATATTCTACTCATACTGATCAACTTGAAACTTAATTTATGAATGAATATTCATGAGTAATGCAATCTATTAAATCATATGTTTAAAAAAATTACTAAAGATTCTTTTAATAAACGTAAAGCTGAGCTAAATTTAATCTTATTTATTCTGATTAGGTATTTCAGTCTGCTTAATTGATAAGTTTGAATAACAGTTTTTAGTGCAGATTGAGTGGAATACAATTAAGTTTCATTATTTCAAAAAATGCAAACAAATTACTTAACTTAAAAGTCGATTAAAAAAGAGTTATAAAAAAAGAAAGTTTTGACATAAGTCTATTGAGTAAAACTAAACAGCTAATTGAAAAAGAATTTTAAAGAAAGAAAATCTTAACTCAAGATTATCAAGAAATGAAAATTTAAAGAAACCAATAAGTTTAAAATTTATTAAAAATCAGAACATATTATAAAAACTTCTTTAAGAATTAAATAGTAGATTTTAAAATACTTAAGATAAGATCAACCAAATCAAGATGATTATTCAAATACACAATCTAGAGATAATCATCAAAAAATTACTTGCTAAAGTCAAATAAGGTAGAACTATTAAAGAAATATATTAAGAGTAAACACAAATAAGCTAAAAAATAACTTCATCTCTAGAGAAATAATATAATATTTACAAACTAATTGTAATAAAAATTGTTAAAGAAATTTCTAAAGAAGAGACTTCAAAAAAAGAAACTAAGAAATTCATAATCAAAAAGAATACTACAAATATAGAGTAGTAAGAAACATTTATACAGAATGAAGAAGAGTGAAAATATTTACAATAAGTATTAGAAACATATAAGGAAATAATTAAAGTACAAGGGTTTCTAACCAAAACTTAAAAGAGAATAAGTATTTCAGGATTACAAATTCAATTTAATTTTAAAGTTTTATTTAATACAAATTATGATGAATAAACTGAGCTAGTAAGAGTATGAAGAATGAATAAAAAATCATATTATTATTAATCATTCTAACAAGCATATTGATTCAAATTGTGTAGAATGCTATCTTATAAATGAAGAAATAGCAATAAAAATGCAAATTTTCAACAAATAATAAAGTAGATGTTGAGTTATGCACTAATATTATAATTTACCAGAGCAACATTTTTTATTTCAACTGAGCAAAATGGCAGATAAGCATGAAAGTTTTTACATAGCAATGAAAGGAATAATTTATAGTCTCTCATATTAAGAAGAACAAAATCTTCAAGAATTATACAAAAAGTTGATTAAAGAATATAATTGCACTAAGGGATTCAAATCACAAAAACAATAAGAAAGTGTTGAAGAAAGTAGAGTATAAGAGAAAATTCAAACTCTCTTACTGACAACTACCAGACTATATTAGGAAAAGACATATCACATGATTTTATCTTGAAGTCTAAAAATCCTCATAATGATATAGCTAAATACTTAATGCCGAATCAAGCATACTCTGCTGCTTCATCACATAGTGAAAATGAAGAAGAAATATCAATTGACAAAAATAAAGCAATGATGGAGCTGCTTTTGAAAATAACAAAAGAAATCAAAAGAGAGGAAGGACAATCACTACTGAACCTAAATGAGAAAAACTAGGTTGGTAGACTTTCTAACATTTAAAGGTGAAAACAAGATCCAGTAGCCTGGTTAGAAGCATTTGAAGAGGCATATACTGCGAACGGAGTGGAGAATGAAAGACAACTCAAGATCATAAAATCATACCTCAAAGGAGAAACACATACTTGGTATCTTTCCCAAGACATCAAACAGATTGGATAAAAGATACAAGTCATTCGTAACATTGTATATGAATGAATACTGTAGCATCTACCAAAGAACACAATGGAATTAAGAGTTAAGAAATATTAAACAGAAAAAGGGAAAAATCATTACTCAATATACAGCAAGAATAAGGGAACTATGAAGAAGAGTAGACCCTTAAAGAATAAAGCTGATTTTCCAATTCAGCTTCAGTTTGTTTGGCTACACTATGTTGATCAGGTTCGTCAGATGATACCGGCTGAGTTCTTGGAAAATACGCTATCCAAGTTACGTGCGAACCATTTCACTTTGGATAGTAGCATTGATTGTGTTAAACTCGGATGAAATTCCAGTAAAATTGTTTTGATGCGCCTGTTCAATTTCATCAAGTCTTGTGGTCACGTTTTGGGACTATCGATAGAGTTTCAATTGTGTAGTTAGCATCAAGAGCCGTAATTTTGCCGAATCGCACTGAAATCTTCATTAATTTTTGAATCACGAGCGAGAGGTCATTTGGTAATTTTTGAATTATGTGCGAACCCATCTAATAATTATAAATAACTCTTCCCTGAATCTGAGGCCATTTAACAATTAGCGCTTTAAAGAAAATCCGATGAATTACGGTTTTATGACAAACTGACATGATATAAATTAATACTCTCAAAATATTACCGTTTATTTCAAAGATCAACGAAAGAATTTTATTTATTACTATTAACATATAATAACAGTTTATTCGAGTGTCTGTAAATCAGAGGTCATAAATAATATTCCGATTTTCATTTTCGTTTCGTTCTATCAATATGATTGGTGAAATGTGTAAATCGGAAGCAGGTTTTTTATTAATTATCCAAACCTGAAAATATTGAGATTGTTCTTTCAGGAAAAAATGTGTTAACGTTAAGAATGTTTCATTAATAGACCGCTAAATGAATCATAGCATTTACCGCGGTAGAGTTTTGCATAAGCACTCCTCACGTGATTCTGGCTCGAAAAATAAGTATGTATGATTGCTGCTGTTTAATTCGGATGAAATTTTTTGAAATTGATTAGCATATCCTCATTAATCCGTAAACAATTAAATTTCCAACATATTCAAGGTCGCAACTGTTGGCTTCTAGATTTTATTGTTAACCAATTTTCAAAACTTATCCATTGCAAATTTTTGATAAACTACAAATATTCATTCATAACGGTTACGATATAAAATTTATTTGAGAAGTTTCGCATGGCTTTATTTGTCTAATTTTCTTATTGATTTATTTGATATATTAAATTTTTAAAGATGATTATGATGAGACACTAATGATTCGTTCAACTGAATATTTATTTTAAAATCACTACTAACAAATTAAGAAAATTGAATTCTAATAAATAAAATCGAAATAACTTTCGAACGAATGAACAATATAAAAAATTTTTTCTTAAAAATCTATAATTAAAATTACAGAAGAAGAATATAATCCAATATTTGAATCATTATCAGTGTATAATTTGTGATTATCTCAAAAAGACATATTTGATTCAGCTTCTGTTTCATATATGGATATTACAGCAGAGAAGTGTAATTTAGTTATATTTATTTAATAAAAAAGGGAACCAAACTTGGAGGCAGTCCTGATATTATAATACGACAACATCAAATAATAATACAAAGGCATTTATTTTACATTAAAGTTAATTAAACGAAACGAAAGATAAAAGAATAAAAAAATATCAAAAGACTTTTTTAGAAAAAAAAATGCTAAAAAGCAATGGAACAGAAATACAAAGTATTATGTAACAAGCATTATAATAGATCACTGAGATTGCCAAATGTGCCTATAGCAAGGATTTTATTATTCTTGTTGTAATCATTAAAAGAACGCAAAGAATGATCCAAAATTCGTAGGAACATTTGATCATGATTCAGAATATCCGGAAGTTGAAGAAAGTAAGGGCAATGGAAGAATAATTATGATGATATGCTGAAGATCCAAATCAATCTCTCTGAATCGATAAGACTTCTTGTTGAATTTCATAGAGATCTATAGTAAAAGTAGCACCAGGATTGATAGTAATTCCAGAAGGCATTGCAACAGTTTATCCAGAAAGAGGTGCATTGGTTGGCGGATTGAAGAAAACTTCAATAACTGGAATATTGATTATAAACCCTGCGAGACCTGGACCAGTACATCCATTAGTGGGGATAGGTTGATTTGGAATGATATGGGCACTTTTTGGAATAGACCCAAAATCCCACTAGAAATACATTTTAAGAAATGCTTAGAGTTAGGTTTAAAAATAAGGAAACTAAATACAGATAAGCTCTTACTTCCTGAAATCCTGCTCCTTGAGTCCAAAGCCTAGCTGTCATTGCTCTGTACTTTCGACCTTGGTTGTCTCTTACATCCTTTGGTTTATGGAGCTTGATGCCAAAAACATAGCGGACATAAACATCTTGCATCCACAATTGACACTTTGCTATCCAGGAACTGGTGTATTGATAATTAGCTAGTTCTACTACTATCCTGGCATGCGAGTTACCCTAGATATATAATGTCATTAATTCAGGGAAATCATGTTTTAAAATAAATGTGCTAATGCATTAAATTCAAAAATACATTTGAATCGCTTGGAGGAGGTCCCGGATGAGAAACAGCAGGTTTTGGGACATACAAAACAGTTGGAGATATTGCGAGGTCAGGGGCAATTTTTCTTCTTCTTCCCACTCTGTTTGCAACAGGACTAGGATGAACTAAAAAAGGATAAAAGGGTGCAAACTTTAAAAATGATTACTCCAAAGAATAAACTGATTGGAGAATGGTTCTTTTACATGTATCTGATGAAACCCTTATTGGACGATTAAGAGCTCGAATGCTACCGTGAATATTAAAGAAATCGGACACAAATATAACGAGGCTGGAATGCTCCGCATTAGACATTTCAATGATAAAAACGTTGCCGTTATCGTCGTGTTGATACTTGTACCCGCGAGGCGCTTTAAATTCAAGGAATTTGTTGTATTTCTTTATTGATACGTTTGAACCAATTTGCAAGGGCAAGCTACATTCATTACAAGTTAACATTGGACGAATCTTTGAAATCAGCTGATTAACTTTTACTTACCTTTCCTCATTTATTGGCCCCTTTGGAAAATGAAGCCGACTTGGTATAAATGGACTTAACTTTCTCAGAAAGTTATTTCCTTGCTTATTTACGTGGATGATTTTAAAAATCAAAAATCAATTAAATAAACACATCAAAATTCATGTCGATCTAATCTATTTTGAGTAGCAAATAGAGTTACCGATCATTTGTAATTATCGATTTCCGATCTTGGAGTACAATGTCTAATAATACCCTGGAAAACAAATTGTCAAATAATAATAATATAAAAGAATTATTAAAGAAATCGTCGCCTACCTCGACAGCGAGGAATCGTCTTGCTAGTCTTTTATTGATTTTCTTTCTTCAAACTTTTAAAATGATCGTTAATTTGCCACCGAATACCATCGATATTAAGGGCTTGACTGAGACGTTTCAGGTTCGAAATGGAGGCAATGGGCTATGATCTCACCACCTCCCGTTATTGACACCAAATTCTAAACATAGCAATAGATTTCACGACAACAAAATATTACAATTAAAATGATTTTATGCCTATAATTATTGAACAGGTTTAATGGAACTTATTTATAATTAGTCGAAGGCCAAGATTATTGCGGACGAGAAAGGTATAAACCTTGTAGCAAATTCATCTGAATTTCACGGATCTCAAATGATCGCAGAATATTCACAATATCCAAAATCGTACATAAATGACGATGAAAAAACTATTGAAAGCAATCAACCATTATCAACAAAAAGACGAGATGCATCGCACATACTAGTTCTCAATAAGCTTAGCATATAATATAATGGTGGTATATTGGAAAAAATATTTATTTTTTATTATCATTATTATTGAATTTTTTTCAAGACGGTTTGAAGATCTTGATCTTCATCGCAAAGCAAAATAAAAAATAAAAAATAAAAATAAGTGAACTATTTTAAAAAAAAAGAGCTAATAAAAAAATCTCACCTATACCATATACGTAACCCTTTAATTCAAGGTGTTGTAAATTAAGCACATCCTTTAAATTAATTAATTAATCAATAAACAAACTTTTTTTTTTTTAAAAAAAAAAAAGATACTGGATAATGAAGATAATTACATATAATTTTCGATTTTCCCCCCTTAATTCCTTAATTTGATCAGTTGTAGCGGCATTATTTTGAAGGGCTTTCAATTCCGATTCAATTCTATCAATTTTTTGAGTATAATCACGAACCTACAGATGCATGTTAGTATATAGATAACATATGTTTATAAAAATATAATAAAATTTACCTTGTTTGTAGATTTTTGAAGTTCTTCAACAGAACTTAATAAAATATTGGATGCCGCATGATATTCATCTAAAAGATAATAATATCCTGCTCCTCCTGCAATCGTTAACCCCACTAAAAATCCAATTAGACTATAAAAGAATGCAAAATAATTTTAAAGTAAATAAGTAAACTTGCGCAGAAATATTAAATTACGATAGACTATGCGTACCCTCCACGGAACCCGCCGATAGGTTTTCTTGTTGGCTGTACAGATTTACCTATTTCTGTCGAAATAACACTTTCTTCTTGAGCCGCTCTAACAATATTTGTACTGGTAAAGCTTCTTTTTATTAATTTCCTCCGAAAATCCAATAATACTTTTGAACTTCCGTCTAATAAATAAATTTGTCGTATAAAAGCTTTCATTACTACAAAATAAGCTGATTTTTTTTTAACAAAAAAAAAAAAAATTTATTTTTATGCTTAATCTAAATCATTGATGTCACGTGACATTCAGTATTTCGGACATCGGAATTTTAATTTTTTTTTATTATGGTTGAATAATCATTTTTCTATTACGAATTTATTAATACATTGTAAATAACCAAATATTCTATATAAAAATATCAAGAAGAAAAAAAAAACACAAAATTTATATAAATGCAATAAAGTGGTAAATAATGATTGTATTTTTTTTTTTTACACATGATTTGCGGCAGATGTAAAACCGTTATCGACACCTGGTTCAAGAAATGAAGCATGACCCAAGACCATCGTTGCAGAAGCTCCAACTATCCAAAATATAGTTGAACCAGCAGAAGATATCCATAAAAGAGGAATAGAAATTACAATAAGTCCAGTATACAATTGTTTTTGAGTTAAAACATACTGTTGAAAAACAAATGGTTCCTCTAATTTACGAATGAAATTTAATCCTACAATGAGGAAAACGATGGTCAAGAGGAGGAAAAAATTTGTAATCCTATAATTGATAATAAAATAAATTAGATTTTTCAGAACTTTCATATTAGAAGATTGTAAAATTATGTGAAAATAATATTTACAGGCAATAGATCAATAACCCTAAAACGATTAGAATATAGTTCGATTGAAAGTACGTCAAGTTATAAGAAAGGCGCTGCGCAATATCTAAACAATTTTTGTTTTTCATATTAAATACAGCTTTTCTCTCAAGGAGGAGGTTAAAAACAGAAAAGATTAATTTTGTAAATAAAGATGTTACGAACCTCCCATGCCTTTTGGTTTAGAAATCCTCTCTTTATCAAAAAACTCATTGAAAGGACGCATGTTGCCTAACCTTTCGGTTTTAAACCGATTTAAAAAGTTTAACCTTTCCGATGAAATAGGAAAAGAATCGGGGAAACCTGCTGGTATATTTGGTATATTTATGTTATTACTCATTTTTATTTTGTTTTTATTTAAAGGAAGAAGAACGATAATAGCAATAAAGTTGAAAGAAATGAGTGAGAAGAATTATTTTTGAGGAAAACTGGATTAAGACCATATTTATACTTTATTGATTTCGTGTAACTTATTACTAAGGTGGCTTGGCTTAATTCTTTGTATCATTGTATTTATGTTTTTTCAAATGTTCATGCAAGGATATGTACCACAACCCATGACATTTGATACCATTCTTTCCATATGTAATATATGTACTTTAACCTAGATGACATTTGATATTTTATTAAGTTTACAAAAAAATGCATGCTCTCAGTTCATCTTTTTTTTATTTTTATTATTTTTATTATTTTTTTTGATCCTTACTCACATAATCTTTCATTAAATTAAAAACTTTAAAATATTAATTTTATAAATATAATTTCAACTATTACTAGAAGCTGATTGTGATGATGATTGTTCATTGATATCTTGTGGATTTTTGTTCTCCTTCTTGGCCTCCGCCAATTCCATATCAATCCTTTCCTTGGCTCTTACAACTTTTGATTGTAAATAAAATGATCCACCAGAGGATGAATCATTTACTCTAAATAAATGCTCATAATTCTGGAATAAAAATCGAAAAATTATTAGGGAAAAAAAAATTTCTTTTTCGATTTTAAGTGTAAATTCGTCAAATACCTTTGAAAGATTTGTGACATCCCTTTTTAGATTTAATATTTGATATGCTTCTTCTAATGACATTCCTGTTCGTCTTGACAATGTATCTTTTCCCATTCGTGACGTGGCACTACCTCCGGCCGCCGCGTCTGAACCAATAAAAATGTCAAATTTTTTTAAATAAGTTAACGGATCAAAAAATGCACGTAATTTTTATTATCACTTACTTGCTACGGCTTGTTTATATGCTTCGACAAAGGCTTTGCCTACGATCTGCGTTCCTAAAACGATGATTTGTACTATTACTTTTGCCTAGTTAAGTAAATCGGGTAAATATTTAAAGATCGAAAAAAACCAATATAAAGTAATAAAGAGATTGTAATATCAAATACCATTTGACATAAAAATTCATGAAAATGTTTAAAAAAATAGGATGATTTTTTTTTAGAAGAAAAAAAAAAGATGTAAAAAAAAAGTATATTTATATATAAAAAAAAATATTAATACAGGTTTATTTATTTATTGATAAACAATTTGATATGCATTAATGCAATTATGTAATCTGTAAAAAAAAAATTAGATTGAGAGTTTTTATTCGTGGTGCAGAAAGTACTCTTTTATATTTAATTTTTCATAAAAATGGAGCAAAATTTTACTTTTGCTTGTCAACGCTGTAAACAACCCTTAAAAATTGAAGAATCGCTAGCGGATCTGGATGCAGATTCCGTAGATATCTTGTTAGGTATAATATATAATATAGATCCATCCCTTATCCGTCAAATTTATATATATATATTTATTTTTAAAATATTTTAGCAAGTCCGGAGGAGAGTATAACTTCAAGATATACAGACCACCGGCTCGGAATCAAGAAGAGTTCTAAACAAGATATATTTAATGATTATGAAGATGATGAACTACCAGCGTCAAACTTAAGATCTGTTTCTTCCTCAAAGAATCCTTCCGGTCTTTCACGATCTCCTAATGGAAACATTAGTAACAAAGAGTCGTTCTTAGCACCTTCAGAATCTTATGTAATGTTATCACGTTCACAAGTCGCTTCACATCATAACGATCATTCGTTACCAGAGCGAAATTCACTTGATGGAAAAGCCGAAGAAAGAAGAAAAGCGGATTGGAGTAATCGACTTAAAATTGCAAATCGATTGTTTGATTTTATGTCGTCAAGATCGGACATTGAACATCCCATGTGTCATGAATGTACTGATATGTTACTAGATAGTTTGAAAAAACACTTGGCCGATGCTTCTAAAGAAAGAGATTGTTATATAGACTTTCATAAGAAAGTTAATGTGAGCGTAATAAGTGATACCGAAAAGGAGAACTTACAAAAAGAAATTCAGGAGGCAAGAATTTGGTTGCAAAATCGTTTTGAATTTAAATTGGATTAATTTTATTTACATAATATTTATTTAATTGTAGATAAAATTTAATGAATTGACTGCAATTAAAAAATTAGAGGATATAGAGCACGAAAGAGATGCATTGAAAAAAGAGATGGCGGCATTAGAGGATGAAGCAAACGAACTCGATAAGCTTGAAGAAAGGTACTCATTGTTTTTAATTGATCATACATGTCGTAAATAACAAACAGAGGATTTAATAATTAATATATATTTAATCTTAGTTATTGGCAAGAATTTAATGATTTTCATATTCAGCTACAAACATTTCTAAATGAAAGGGATAGCATCAATCTGAAATTTGTTCATGATTCCAATCAATTGGAAAAACTCCAAAAAACCAATGTTTATAATGATGCATTTTGTATTGGTTTAGATGATCAATTTGGGACAATTAATGGATTTCGATTGGGCAGGTTACCTCATATACAGGTAATAGTAAAGTCATTCTGGTGAAGGTCGATCGGAAAATGAAGAGACTATAAGTAATATTTGGCAGATATATTCCTTAATATATATTATAGGTTGATTGGAGTGAGATCAATGCCGCTTGGGGTCAGACAACTCTGTTACTTTCAACAATCGCAAATAAACTTAATTTTACATTTCAAACGTAGGTTTTTCTTTTATTCTTTTAACCTTTGTAATTGGAATTTTAATAAATTTTTTTTTATTTAGCTATCGACTAGTCCCTTTAGGTTCGTTTTCTAAGATAGAAAAGATTGATGATGATACAAGTTATGAGCTGTAAGGGTTCCAGATTTTATTTTATTTTTTAATAAGATTACATTTTCACCCGTATATATATCTTTAATTTGTAGTTATGGATCTGGCGATTTTTCATTAAAAACTCCATTCTTGAATAATCGTTTTAACAATGCGATGGTAGCCTACTTAAACTGTTTGCAACAGTTGGGAGATTATGCTGAACAGCAAAATCGTAAATTAAAATTACCTTACCGGTACAGTGTTTACTTTATAGAACACAATCATTGTTTGTCCTATTCTACTTTTTTTTTTAGACTAATTTTAAATTTGTTGCTTTCTTCTAATATATATGTAGTATTAACAAGGACAAAATTGGGGATGTGTCTATAAGATATCAATTTAAAGGTGAAGAAACATGGACAAAAGCACTTAGATATACTTTAACTAACATAAAATGGATCTTGGCTTACGCCGCTAGTTTGGCATCATCTAAATGAGAGAAGTAATAGTTATTTTTTATTTTATTTTTTATACTTAAAGGTAACAAGAATTCATTGCCTATGTATTTTTATTTTATTCAAAATTAATTTTGTAATTGAATTGAAGTTAAAATTCGGGGGTTATTTTCAATCTTTTTGAAATAATTAAAGTTTACATTGTGTCAAGTAAATTTATAAAATAAAATTAAATTGATCTTTTTTTTTTTTGAAAGTATAAATTACAAATTTACTTTTGATATATTGTCTTTAAATAAATTTCAAACTATAATATAAAGAGATTAATATAATAATACTAAATGACATGTATACATTTACATATATATATTTATATATGTATAAAGAATATAAAAGAATCTGTTTTTTTGTTTTGTATGTGTAGGTGAACTAATGAATTAAAATTTCGGTAATAATAATCAAAAAAAAAGAAGGAATAAGAGGTTAGATAGATAATAATTGTAAAAATGTCCACTTCTAAACTCTTTCTATAAATAGATTTTTTTTTCTCGCTCTTTTCTAATAACGCTCATCCAGAAAAAGGAATTAATGAAAAAAATAGCGACAAAAAAGAAAAAAATAAAAAAAAACCCCCAACAAAATTAAACAATAATATATATATTTATATACTACAGTACGATACAACAGTCAGTATGTTTTTTTTGAGGTGACAAAAGTGCGGCCCTTGAGGCAGCTTCAAAAACATTATCAACATCTTCACCAGTCAATGCTGAACATTCTAAATATTTACGAGCACCTATTTGTTGTGCCATATCTTCTCCCTACAGCATATTTAATAATACAAATTTTAGTTATAAATGGATATCTTGAAACCTAGAACTTTCTACCTCTTACCTGTTTAGGATCGACGAAAGCAATGCCCTTCTTTCGCATATCTGCAATAGCGGTTGCGTCATCTCTTAAATCTTTCTTTAAACCTACTAAGATGACAGGAACATTTGGACAAAGAGAATGGACCTCGTCAATCCACTAGATTGGAAAATATTATAAAACAAATAATTAATTTATACATGATTTTCTCCTTTTTAGAAACATAAAAGATTATCACTACCTTCGCAGCTACGTTTTCAAAAGAATCGGGTATGTCTATCGCAAAGGCAATCAAAATGACATGAGCTTTAGAATAAGAAAGAGGTCTAAGACGCTAAACGAAAAAAAAAAATTAGCTATGCTAAACTTAAACTACTCGATTAATCGAAATTAGGTCAAAATCGAATATTTATTCACAAAAAGTCATCGAAAGGGTTATTACTAACTTCATATTCTTCTTGCCCACTATTACAATATAAATGAGGAGAAAAAAATTCACGTTAAATAAACGTAATGAACCGATTGGAAATTGATATTTGGACTTACGCAGTATCCCATAGCGCCAATTGGACAGGTTTTCCATCGATTTTAATATCTGTCACAAGATTTTCAAATACCGTTGGAACCTATTTTTAAGGTGAAAAAACAATTGGGAAAGAACGAAATCGTATTTTAGAGCTCATATTGTCAAAAGATATACAAGAAGTTGTTTCATCTTAGAGTCCCGTACTTTGGACTAAGTGGTGAATAGGAGGTAGGTTTTTGATCTAGTACTTACATATTCCTAGATCCGTAAGTGAGATAAAATAGTAGACATTTTTATTAAACAAAATATTGTTAGTGAAATAGTTAAGACTACTAATGCCCAAACCAAGAAAATATCCAAAAAAAGCATAATATATATACCCTTGGAAAATGACCTAATGTGAAAACGGACAATAGAGAAGTTTTACCACAGGCACCGTCTCCTACAATGACTAATTTACGTTGAATGACGTCTTTAGTTTTTGAAGCGCTTGACATTGTGAAATATATATATTATATATTATATATTATTGGAATATATAATAGAAATTTTTTTTTTATTTATTTTTTTTGTATTATTATTATTATTAAAAGAGCGAAATAAATTATCAAGAAATGGAAAAGTGGAATATATTCAAGAAAAAAAAAAAGATTAAGAAGAGGTAATTATTGATTAAAAATATTATGTTATTGGCGGGTTGTATCACAAACATGTTATTTTCGTTCGTTCGTCAATTAGGAAAAACGTGGCTTAACGATTTCGAAAGGAGAAATAATTTATTAACAAACAGGAAATGTCAAAATAAGTATATTTTTCCAAATACAGAATTTGAGGAAAGCTTGGCATGAATCCAAGGAATTTTCCACCGTAACACAATTGTAAAATAAAATTCGTAGTTTAATTTTTTTTTGGGAACGATATTATTAAAAATTTTGTGGTCCAAGAGTCAAAAGGAACTACAATACACTATACAGTATTTTATTTAAAAATATTCATTGTCTATTTATAAGTTCATTCATAATTTCGATGATCTTTTAATTTACGCCGTTTTTTCAAGCTTAACTTTGAAAGGAAAACTGTAATAGAATACGTTTTATTTTTAGAAAAGATATCTTTTGCAAATTAAGTTCCTGGTTTGGTTTCCAAAGATTAAAACCATTAAAAAAAATAGTGTTTCAACAATCATTTTCAAGAAAAAGTTACCAAAAATAATTTTTATTTAACAAAATATACGATTAATTGAAATGTTTTATTTATAATCATTTAATAATAAGTTGATTACATCAATGATAAAAAAAACTTTTTGGGGGGTCTTCTAAAATAGATGTTTAAAATTAAGCACCATTTTATTGGCTGTAAAAATTGTGGGTCGTATTATACAGTATAAGAGATTCCCGGACTTTAGGACTGAGTCTATATTTGGGACTTAATTAATATCTTAATAAGATCACTTTTATTTTAAACAACACAATTTTATATGTACATGTATGGGCACTTGAAAATTAAAAAATCGACAGAAATATGTTCTTTCTAATCAAAAGTTTTTATTTTATTATTCAAATCGCTTTTAGAATTATCCGATGAGCCATAAAATATATATTATACATTTAATGCAAAATTATGGTTATTTTTTCATTAAGTAAACTTGTTCAGCGTATTATAAAATAGATTATGTAAAATTTTAGATTAATTACACTAATACTTTTGGAGATTATCTTGATAAAATTTAGCAAGTTATCAATAAATTATTGCCATCTCATGTGACTTGTAATTTCTTTACTGTATTTGAGTTGATCTTCACAAGTATAAATGTAAAATTTTGCATCAATCTATTTTATAATATTAAAACACGAAAATATTACGTTAATTATAATTCATTATGATTATTTGAAAGAACTTTTCTAATTTTTAAGTGCCCGGAAAATGTTTTTTGATATAAAAATGTCCAAAAGTTTTAAAAAAAAAATTATCATTATTAAAATATTCAGTAAAAAAACTATTAACAATAAATAATTCAATATTCTTATATTATTAAAAAATGAATTAGAAAATATCATGTTAAATTTTTTCATTTTACTTTAAAATTTTTAATAATAGTTCTTTGAAATAGAAGAGAGAAAACTGCTGAAAAAATCAAAAAATGAGTTAATACTAAATTTAAACATATTTTAGCCTAAATATCATATTTAGCATATAAAAGTAAATTAATTTTTCCTAGTAGTTTCTCTTCTTTCTATTGTAAAAGTCCTATATCACTTTTACTTTTTACTTTTATATTTTTTTTTCAAAAAAAGTTTTTTGCTTTTGAAATGCGAAGTTTACTAAACTATTTATTTTATTAAATATACCTTTTAAATTTAGTTTTTTGAAATCAGCTAAATTTTAACTGCTTGGAATACTTTTAATAATATAAAAATTTATAAAGTCTAAGCAAAATCTAAATATTCAAATTTATAATTTTGGATTTTTTTTTGAATTATAATTTTGAATAATGACATGTATGATTTTAATCAAAATGTATCAGTTAGTTCTAATGAAAAAAAAAAGATTATTATAATAATAATAATAATAACTTATTTTAAATTTATCAAATTACATTAATATTAAGTGTTTTAATAATCAAATATTTTAACAAGTTACATGTGACCTAGATTAGATTATGAATGTAATTTCATAGTCTGCCGGTAACTTCATAATATAATGGTGACTTCATAATCTACCAGTAACTTTATAATACAATGGTAACTTTATAGCCTATCAGTAACTTCATAATATGATGGTGATTTCATAATCTAATTACATGATTTGGTGATAATTTCATAACTTATTATTCACAATCTAATAGTGACTTCATAACCTACTTATGGGTAATGATATACATTTTTGATGTTCTAGATATTTGTTATCCCAATTATATGTTCCAGTTATATGTCTCAATATATCCTAACTGTTCCATCTGTATTCTATCTGTATCCTATCTATGTCCTAACTATGTCCTGTGATAACACTGCTTATGAGTAGCTTCTTTGTATTTATAGTATTGTTTCAATTGTTTCCTATATAATATAGTAGTAATTTCATAGTCTAATGGTGGCCAGTGATACTTTAATTTGATGGTGATGTCATAATCTAATAATGACTGCTTTTTCTTGCTACTAATTAAAGATGGATACTATAATTAAGAAGTTGCAACTTGGTTATAACTCCTTGTAAATTTATTTTAATATAAAAATTCATAAATAGTTGCAACTCAAAGTATTGCAACTTAAGTTGCAACTAGTTAAAATTTTAAAAATAATTATAGAAACCATCTTTACTGCTAATCTATTTACATGATAAATTTTATATCATTGGTGTAAGTCCTCTATGCTTATTTGGATGCCTAGTTCTATATTAAGGATGCTAATCCTCTTTGGATGATAGTTCTATATTGAGAATTCGCGCCTATTTAGTTGCCTGTTAAAATGCTAAATTGTGATAAAACAATCATGTCAGATGGTGCAGTAAATTCGCATCTATAATCATATGATAGTGATCCTACAGAACTTAATGACAAGTGATTCTCTACGCATATACTGTTAGAATATCATATGATAGTGATTCCAGAGAGCTCAGTGTCAGATTTTATTCAACAAAAATTTGCGCCTATTTAGTTGCCTTCCAAATTATTGAAATAGTGTAAAAAAATATTGCGTTGAGTGACGCAATAGATTTGCGATTAATTTTGACTAATACTATGCCATAATTTCAGCTGATCTTTTGAGCATATGATTCGAAGATCCAGCTTAACACTATGATGATGCTGTAAAAATATCATAGAATATCATAGAACTGGTAGAGAATTGTCATAGAACTATCATGGAACTAGCAGGAAACTAGAGTGGTTCTATTAGTTTTCCAATTAATTTCATCTGACATTATTCCAAAGTTCTGGCCAAAATTATGGAATAGTGCTAGCCGAAATGATTGCAAGAGAGGTACACTTTACATATATTGTTAGGAGAGTCATATGATAGTGTTCTTAAAGGGCTCAGTGACAGGTGATTCTTTACGTATATATTGTTAGAAAAATCATATTCCAGAGGGTTTAATATCAGATGACATTCAGAGAAAATATGTTAAAGTCAGATTATCATAATTTACTACGCTTTGAGTTTTAGGCACTTTTCAGGCATTTTCTCACAACTTTCTCATTACTTTCAAGAGATGTTTACAGGATGTTGTAAGCACTTCTGAGACCTAATCATAGTTTAAATTGAGTTGAGGTAATGAGTATGCAATTTTTTGAGTGTCACTAGTATCACCAGTTAGTATACAGAACCAGTGATAGAACTAGTGACAGATTTGTTATACTTCTTAAGATAGTTAGGCTTTTTTATTTCTTTCTTGATTAGTATTACTAGTGTCACTAGTAAAAGAGTAGTAAATTTTAAGAGAAAATTGAAATTTTTTTATGGTATCCTATAGTATATGTATACTATAAAAAAACAAAAAAAAGTTAAGGAATTTGAATTTTCTAGTGATACTAGTGAAACTAGTGACATTCATCAAGAAAGGTTTCTTTCAGCACAAAATCCCTAAAGAGCCTATCGTTTGCATCACTGGCTTCTGTTACTAGCTTTTTTTTCCAGTAACACTAATAACAAATTGTACTATTTTGCATCGCTTCTATTTACCTACTACTTTCTGCATTGAAGCCACGTCAGCCAGCTTTTTCTAATAGCATTATTTCCTTTTATAGTACTTTCTATCATTAATATTGCAAAATCCATATCTGCTATAAGTTAATTTATTGTATCCATATTTATTGCAAGATACCTGAAAAAAAGAATTACGATGAATATGACATTCTTTCAAATGGTAGCATTCCCAATTGCAAATCTCATCACTCCTGTGAATATAAATACATTAATAAAATACCATTTTTAATAACTATGAATAGTTGGTTTGTGTATCAGTTTATATATTTCAGAATTAATTTTCATTTTAAACTTTTTCTCCCAGAATATATACATTCTCTCGAACTGTATATTTGTGATATAATATTATAACCTAATCTGAGCTTTTAAAGTTCCTCAATGCCTTCGCCTTTTTTCATCTAGAGGCTGAAAAACATAAAATGAAAAACCAGGTAATTTGCTATTTTGACGAAAAAATATTTGACCGGTATTCTAATACAAGATGATATAGTTGCAGAAAATAATGAAAGATTGATCGTAATCCTTGTTGATATTCTATTCAGTTGCTAAAAAATTCCATTCATGGCCATTGACAATAAAGGGTCATCAGAAAAAATAAATGGAAAGTACAGCTATATATTATGTCTCTATGGTTCTCTAATTAATAGCTAAAAGGCAGTAATAACTCTTTATAGAATCTGGGTATTCTTTGACGTTCTTGTACTGGATGGGAAGACTCCAGATGATTTTGAAATAAAAGTAAGAGGTATTCTCTCTAGGAAGGTAAAGACTCAAAAAATTGAGCATATTAAAGCTTTCTCTTTTCGAGATTATCATACAGAAAAAAACATATTTACGAATTTATATGTATGGTACTGATAAAAGAAAAACAGCTATTAAGGCTGTCCAAGATAATAATTACGAAACTACTTCAGATAATTTATACTCATTTTATTGTTAGGTAGTTCGAGAAAATGGAATCCAACTTTTCAGATAGTCTATGCTAAGTAAATATATTTATAAGAAAGAAATTGATCCTCTCTATTCACACGTATTTTACACTTCTAAAAAAGATTTTTGACCAGTAGAAGACCTAAAAATAATAGGTGACCATTTTCCTATTTTAGCACTCAGAGGGGATCGTACTCTTGTTCTTATATGGGATATAGAGACGCAATTATAAGAGTTGGGTGAATTTGCCAAAATCCTCGATTTGAATCAAAATGTTTTTATGATTTGTATGACTTTACACTTGAAGGATAATCTGGAGCCATTAAAATGGATTTGTCTTGTAGACGTTGAGACAGAACCCGATCCATGATGGATTACAATCATTTGTGAAAATTAAATAAATCTGCTAAAAGCTTTCGCTTTCTGTTGGCAAGCATTTGCTCTTAAGATTCAAGTTGAGTTCAATGATTCAGACTATGATTGGCATTTTATTATGGAAAGAGCATATCATATCAACATTCTCAAATGGATGTGGGAGCGAATGACAGGAAAGGTTGAAATAAAGAAGAAATTATAAAGTGGAAATATTGTGGAAAGATAGGAGCGAAATCTGAGAATGCTTTTAAGGCAAAGTTTATTGTAAAGCCTTCTGAGGAAGGCGAGAAGGATCTGGAGGAGAAAGAATATATGAGCAGTCCAATTAAGATCAAAATTAGTGTGAAGGGAGATTTTACTTCTAGCTTCCTTAAACTGCTAGGTTGTATACCAATTGATGTCTGGGTGTGTCTCAAAAAACGTTTTCCTTGTTCTGAAATCGAAAAGGAAAGCTCACTTAAATTCTTCTTACAAAAGTGCGATCTTGACAATAAGGCTGATATACTATATAATAAAATGTGAAAAATCTATTCAGAGGTGAAAAAAAGCTTCTTCTTATCAGCTGCAAGAAAAATGTATGAAGTAGCTAATTATTGCATTATAGACGTATTGCATTGTCAGAAGCTATTGGTAAAACTAAGTATAATTAATGATTATAGAGAAGTTGCTTCTATAGCTTATGTATCTCTTTTTGACGTACACTATTACGCAAATGGAATAAAGATACGACACCTCCTGAGCGCTTATGCCGTTAAACGAGATATAATTTTTAGCATGAAGATATATGAAAATATAAAAAAAGGAAAATATCCTGACACATATGTTTTTTTGCCTAAAAAAGGTATTGAAAAGGAAAGGCCAGTAACTGGTCTAAATTTTACATTTTTATATCCTAGCCTTATCATGATATATAACCTTTCTCCAGAAAAATTTATATTAAGTTTAAAGGATGCTGACATAGCATGAAAAAATAGGAATACCTTACATAAGATTAGCTTTCCATTCAATAAGCATGACATTCATGCTTGGTATGTAAAACATGATAATTGATTGGAGAAGAAGAGCTTATACTCCACTGTATTAGAGAATTTATTTAACAAGAGAGTGGAGCTTAAAATACAACTGGTCTCATTAGGAAAGAAAAAAGAACAACTTGGGAAGTTAATAAGTTCAGCTAAAGAGAAAGGTAAAAGGATTTCAGAAAGCTTAAATTTAGAATATTTATCTATATTCTTTGAACATGATTATTAAGATTCAAAGCAAAAAGCTTTGAAAGTATATATGAAACCTTTTTACGGGAAAGCAAAAAACTCAAAATCTCTAATTTTTCTTTGCGAATTGGCTGAAGGAACTACTTCAGCAGGAAAATACAATCTTAATCTTATCGCAGAATTCATAATAAAAAAAGGATTTGGGATAAAATATAAAGATACTGATTCTTTGTATCTCACCTGTTCAGATAAGTATTACGAAAAATGCGATAAAGCCTTCTCCAAAAAAGAATTTTTTAAAGAAGTGTATTGGACTGAAATGGTCAAAATTACTATGAATGTGATGAAAAAATTGCACAATCAAGTAAACACTTATCTTAGGATAAAAAGTAGGACGTTTTATCTAAATATGGTATATGAAGATGTATTATTTCCCATCTGCTTTACTGGCAAAAAGAAGTACTTTGAAATTGGACATGAAGATGTAATAAACTTTAAACTGAAAATCTTTTTATGAAAAAGATAGATACTGTAAAGCAAGGTAAATCCCAGCTTCTTAAATTCATTGGAAAGAGGATTATGAGGGAGACTTTGGATATAAATAATACACGCTCAATTCATGAAATTGTTAAATATACTTTTATAGAAGCTCAAAACAAGAAATGGAATTTTAATGAATTTATCATAATAGGTACATAAAGGTCTAAGAAAAAAAATCTTTGCAACAATCACTTTATGAAATGTATGAGAGAGAGAAATAAGAGGATTCCTAATCCTGATGAATGGTTTAGTTACATTGTAGTAAAAGGCCCGCCTTTCTATAATAAAAAAAGTAGAAAGGAACCACATAGAGTTAGTGATTTTATGGAATGCAAAAGAGCAAACATGAAAATAGATATCAATTATTACTTAGAAATGATAACAGCAATGTGTGTATACTAAAGATGGTTCCCATAATTATTTTTAAAATTTTTAACTAGTTGTAACTTAAGTTGCAACTATTTATGGATTTTTATATTAAAATAAATTTACAAAGAGTTGCAATCAAGTTGCAACTTCTTAATTATGATACCCATCTTTAGTGTATACTTTATCAATGAAGATGATAGCTATCAACTGTTCTCATCAGATAGAATAATGCAGATCAAGGATTCAGATAAAAGGGAAAAGCAGATTGACATATATTCCCAAAAAGAGGCAAAATGTGCCTTGAAAAATATATTAAGAGCTTACAATAAACTTTTTAAATGAAATTGCCACACCTCTGCTAGAATACTTGTAATATTATTTATGACCACATATTTTTTCTCGTGCAATAATACGCACTAACTTCAATTCCTATATTCAATCTGATTACGAGGTGACCTCTTCTGACCTCTAATTATATAACCCAGACTCAGATATGCTTAGAAATATAAATCGCTAGTCTAAATGTATCAGTCACTTTTTTTTCATATTTTTTTCTAACTATGATTCATATAATTGCAAGAAGTAGTAAAGTACTGTATAGTTCTGAAATTAAGCATACCCTGAAATTAAGCACATCAACATTGTATAAATACTCTGAAATTAAGCATACCAATATTATATAACCAAAGTTGTAACAATTCGTTATTATTTATTAAAGAAAATAAATATACAAATAAAAGACAAAATTATTAATTATTCTTTATCATTATCTGAATTAAATGTATCAAAAAAAATTGTCATTAGTATTATTATATATAAAGTCAATATCAAAAGTAGGATCATCTTCTAGTGTAATTATTTTGTATCTAATATTATAAATGCCACAATTAATACAAATAATATAAATGAATTAAAGATTCTAAATTAAAATTCTTATCTAGCTTACAAAACCTTCATATCTATTGATCTATCATCATCTTCTTTTTCACTAGCATCAGTTATTTCAAAATCCTCTTCATTTTCTTTATCAAAGTTTTCATCAATAATTTTATTTGATATATCGCAGGTTTTGAAGGACTGGATAATTATTTTATTAGAAATACTATTCCATGAACATTTGACTCATCCACAAATATCACTTAATTTTGCATGCTTAAGATTTCCTCTAGCAGTTAGTCTGGCATTACCACTTGCCATCTATAGATGCTACTCTTTACGAAGGTTATCCTTAAATGATTTATTGATCACAATGTCCAATATAAAGATGGTTTCCATAATTATTTTTAAAATATTTAACTAGTTGCAATTTAAGTTGCAACACTTTGAGTTGCAACTATTTATGAATTTTTATATTAAAATAAATTTACAAGGAGTTGCAATTAAGTTGTAACTTCTTAATTATGATGCCTATCTTTAGTCCAATAGTTGACATACATATACTTGTCAAACCATCTGGAATTACTGCTAAATTAGGAATGTTAAATGGTCCTAAACAGTCCTAAAAATCCCAATAAATTTGCCAATTTTAAAGAAGATTTTAATTTTACTGGCATTATATTTTAATTTCTAATGATAATTTGTTAATTGAATATAAATTAAAAATATATATTAAACTTATGCGGGAAACCAGAATCTTAATTTTTGAAATTTAGAACCCAGTCCTAAAGACTGGATCCTACCTTGGTAGTTCCATATTAATTGTCAATTCCAAAGTTCATATTTCTTTTATAAGTTATTCATAAAATTTATTATTACAATTATTTATCAAGAGTTACTTGTTATAGATAAGCGATTAGACTTTTCTATAACTTGTAATTTCAATATTTGTTTACAGTCATTTGGGACTGTTTAATATTCTTATGCTAAATCAAACCCACTATCCCAAAATTTTTTCTTAACCGATTCTTCTAAGTAACCTTTAAATAAATCAAAAATCATCATTCTAGGTGTGTGCTTATTGCTATTGCTTAAATAATATTAAAATAATCGATATATTTAATCATCAGATTTGTATCTATCTATGGAATCAGACAATTATACCTGGAGGTTTTTGTTCTTCACATAATAACTATTTTCCTTTAAATATACTGTACATATGGGAGGAAATTTCGTTCTGTTTATAATAAAAAGCAAAAATATTTAAAGAAATCAGTAATTAATAATTGGATTCAATCTATAGTCTTAAAATCATTAATAATAAAATAAATTTAAATGATTTTTTACAATCATTAGCATATTACAAAAAAAATTTAAAAAAAATGATTTACATCTATGCTATATGTTAAACCAATTGTAAACCTGTTTTTTCATTACCAATGCTACGAATATAAATTGTTTTCTCTCCTTTTTGATTAATGATGAAATTTTCAGTCATGTCAAACCAGACAGGTGTCTCATCCATATTGAAAATATTATTTAGATCAAAACATTTTTCAACTCTAAGCTGGATGATAAATTTATAAAACTTGTCCAATAATTCTTTAATTTGTGCAGGAAATTTTTGTGAAATTCTTGTATGATGCCTTCAAGCTAGATTATATCTTCTCATAAATGCAAATATTCAACGGTTTGATATTTTAAAAGACTCTGCTACATTATCATAGAGAGTTATCATATCAGATTCCTTTAAAATTTCTAACATTTTAAGCTACAAAAGTATATAAGTTACAGCTAAACCTTATTTCCTTTGTCCTGTAAGCCAGTTGCATAATTTTTCTTCAGCTTCTGGATAAAAGGCTTTTTTAACAGAACTAACTCATTTACTGTTTTGATTTATCTTATCAGTTATTCAACTCTCACTTGCCTTAATTAACCAAGCATCCAATCATACTTCTATTAAGGTTGAAATTTTGTGTAGCTTTATTTCTTCCATGCTTAGAATAGGTAACAACATTTTTTTTTGTTCAACAGTGTAAGAATTACGGTTATGTTTGACATTCTTGTTACATTTGACAACCTTTTTATGTTTAGCAATTTGTGGCATTATAAAAAAAAATAAGTTAAAACAGGTTTCGTATCAGTTCGCATTACAAGGATGAGCATTTTATTTAAACTGTGATCGGATTATCAGATAATCAATTTGCATGTTCATCAAACATTTAATAGGCGCAGTAATATCATTAACTGCACAATTAAAGCTCAATTAATAATTTTTTAAACTCTAAAAATTTTATTTTAAAAAATAACCCAAAATTAAGCACACCTATAACAAAAAATATTGCTTAATTTTGGAACTATACAGTAAGTATAATATATGTTATTAATGGTGATATTAAGAGACTTGCAATGACAGGAATAGCTAGTGCTAAAAGCATTACTTAAGCTAGTAGCACTACTTCTGCACCACCTGATTACTTTGCAATCCATTCTCTCGAAATATACTTTTCAGAATGTGAAGGTTGACTATGAACGGATTGATTGGGTAAGGCATCTGTCTGATTTCTCAAAACTATCTCGTCTCAAGGTAATAGCTCTTGCAAATCCTCTAATATATTTTCTCTGGCAAAACTTTTATTGAGTTCTATAACTTTATCTTCAAGACCTCGCTTATAGATGAGACGTCTTAAATTGTTACTGAACCAACCTGATAGCTTTTGCGATAAATTGTTCATAGGTGGAGATGGGAGGTTAGAGAAATCTGCTATTTTATTATTTTTTTTCAATGCTAACTGATCCCTGAAGGACCTATTTTTCCATTAATTTTAATCGTTCTGAAGACTGAATATCTAATTCCCATTTAAATATGCTATTTAATGACTCTATTCTTTTTTCTATACATTCTATTGTATATTCTTTTGAATTACAGTCATCATTTGCTCACTATAATTCAAGCCTGAGAGAATCGAT